ATCGTTTCAACTCTCATCTTTCATGCTGGAAGGTACAGTTCTGGAGTGGACTCGACGGACTGGCAATCAATCTTCGGGCGTCGTGTGCGTCGAGGCGTGTCTGTACGTGTTATGTATGCGTGTTGGTACATGTAAGCATTTGAATAGGCCTTCGTTGGTATGCACACAATATGAGCGTACACGCACAGCAGGGTGAAGAGGGGCAAATAAATGGAGCTAAAAGTGGAGCAAAAAGTGAAGCAATTAAATGGAGCAAACAAATGAAATCAGAATGTATCTTTTTTTTTTTTTTATTATGTAATTATGGCTTGAATGGTTAAATTAGATATTTTCCAAACCGGTGGCGATGAGAGGCGCATGATTCATTTTTTGCTTCTTCCGAGTTAGTGTGTTTTAATGTATCTCCTGCGCTTGGTCAGTGTGCAATTTTTTCTTTCACTTCCATGTTTGTTCCCTTTTTTTTTCACTTGGATTTTTTCTTTTTTTTCCGCGTATACGAATCCAATATTGGCATATATCTTGGCCCCTTCGGAATGGGCGATTTATATAATTCCTGTCGTCATCAAATTGAGATTTTTTTTTTTTTTAAACATTTAGTAACGGGGGGCATATGGAAGTTCGCTTGCCAATGTGATTACGCATACGTATCAGTACTCCTTTAAACAGCGAAGTGTACTTACGTACAAATGGAATGCGTTTAGCATTTGGTACACTGGGCAACTCCACCTTTAGCATGTTGATGGCACAAGCGGCATTTCGCCCTTATGTTCCTTCTGAGGAATGCCATAAATAAGTTCCTTTTAAATCACCTGCGAATGGCATAATAGCGTCGGGGGCACATACTTCATAGGCGTGCTGAGCTTTGCTAGCTCAACCCTTCGTCAAGTGAAAATTTGTTCGAAAGAACAGCAAACAGAAATTTTGTACGCTTGCATAAGGTTTCGTACGTATGGATTCGGTTAAGGTAGCATGTATATGTGAGAGCATGAACGGACGTTTGTTACTCGCATAAACTATTGCATTTTATTACGTGTTGGCTCATCCAAGTGGTAATATTCGCTCCTTTCCCCATTTAGCAATCCAACAAAGGGGGTGAAGCATTTGTCACGAAGCGTTGATTAAAAAAGGCTAGAAGCGCATGAACAGTGCATACATGCACATATATCCATATGCAGTATAGGAATGCAGATGTAATTAGCTCAAAATGGCCCAATTTAGGGGGGAGCTTTCCGTAACCCAGGGGAGGGGTAACCAATCAAGAAAAAAAAAAAAAATGTATATATATGTACAGCGCATGCGTTTATATGTGCATTTTTGCACAAGGCGGAGTAAGGCAAACTAACCTGCAAAGAATGCAACCGTCGTTTAGCTGCCCTTTAGTTGTAAACGAACTAGTTTTTGTGTTATCCGTTTTTATCGAAGCGGCGGAAAAAAGCCATCAACGGGTGAAGGGCAACCCTCAGGAAAGAACAATATACGTTAAAAGGCAACATAGCAGCTGCTGAGCTGTTTAAATGTAGTGCATTGCGTGGGGATATTTTATTCTATTTATTCTGCAACGGATTTTCCCAATTCGAGTAATGTAGTGCGTGCTGACTCGCAAGTAGAGGAAAGCGCTCCACGTGTAGTAGACCAGTATAATACACCGTTTTTACCGCCGCCATTCCATGAGATAGTTTCAGGCACAAAAAAAAAGATGTTCCAAGGGGTAGTTGCATCCGGCGAGGCTTTCCCCTCCATAAAAAAGGCGTTATAAAAGAGCACAGACTTTGAACAACGTCCAAAAATTTCCCACGTCAGTGTGGGTAGGTTGCGACTACGATCGTGCAGTTCAAAAGGGACAAAGAAATTTAAAAAAAAAAAAAGGAAAAAAAAAATTACATAAGCGAGAAAGCCAAGAAATGGCACAGAAGTCGCGCCTATACAGTTTTAAAAATGAAAAAAAAAATGACACTGCATGATTTGTAGCATTTTCCCGCGTGTGCACCAGTTCGGGTCATCTATGGCTGCATCGATGGATCGTCCCTTACTTCGTCCCCCTTCGGCTTCTGCGCCACTTTATGCACCCTACCCCTTATCCACATTGTGACAGCCCCTATCCCATTCGACTGGTTGACCCTTCTTCTGACTGAGCAGCCTGGCGGCACGCATCTGCTTCACCTTGATAGCAATGTCGAGCTCTTGGTTAGACAAATAAATTAGCTTTTCTTGTATTTTATTTTCCTCCTCTGTAATTTTTTCGATCTCGTTGTCTATTTCGTACAACTCAAATTGGTCATATTTTATAACAGGCGAGGAGGCTTCGTCATGCTGATGGCACGTAAAAGCGTCTTCTTCTGCTCTTTCTCCTTCTTCACCCACCAGTGCGAACTGGACACCTCGGTTTGCTCTTCGAAGAGGGGAATCATCTTCCCCGGGATATTGTACTCTATTGTGTTGAGTGGAATGGCTTGGTCGTTCTTCCAGAGGATACTTCCTTTCATAGTAGGGAGGAAGATAATCCAAGCCAGCTTCCTCATTCACTTTGTCAAAATTGGTATCTTTCCACATTTTACCGACTTTTTTCTTGTTCCCATCATACAGGTCCCTTTTGTGCGTTGCTTGATTTGAGGCCCCCCCACTAGGATCACCACACACCGTATGATCAATGGCTTCTGCTTTATTTACGCAGGTGCTATTCATGAGTTCGTTAAAGAAACCGTGATCCGCACATTCTCTCTTTCCATTGGGGGGTCCTCCTATGTGGTTTTTCTGCTCCGATTTGTGCACAAATTTCTGATGCTTAGGTGTAGATGTCGAATGACCGCTCTGTAGGCCTCTAAATTGGGAAGAGGTAAAAGCAGTCTTAATAAAGTTACCCGTCTTATTATTATTATCCCTTCTTATGATTTGAGCCAGTGGGGCATCACCACATGGGTTTGCATTTTTTTTTTTTGCCAGTTTGCTAACAGGAGCCTTGACATTGCGCGCATAACTGGTGCAGTTCTTGTCCCCCTTTTCCGCCTTGCTCGAATCTAAAAATATTTTCGACTTAATTGTCCCGTTGACGACGACAATTTGTTTATCGGAGTCGTCACTCTTTTCGTCATCGTCTCCGTCCTTCGCGCAAGTTAACTTTGCTCGTTCGCTTGAAATCCCATTTTTGAAACACTTTGATTTATTCATCTTTAGTGCCATTAGAAAACTGCTCACATGTGCAGACAACGTGGGCGCGAATGTGATCAGGTAGGAGAGCGATTGCTTTTTCAGGTGCATCTCTGCACACATGAGTACCTATGTAGGGATTCTGTAGATATGCTCAGACAAGCGGACAATTATCGCCCACGGAGTGGCTATACTGTGCAGGGTGCAACATCGGGAGAAAGAAGGTATTATACTCGTTTGTTATGTGGACCAGAGGAGGGATGGGGAGGGGGTCTAGTCAGGCATTCCCCATGTGAGAGGGCACATTAGAATGTATTAAATTTGTGATGCGCTTTTCCGTGAATGTGGCAGCTTGATGGACCGATTGGATGCTCTGCTCTTATGGGGGGGCGTAAATATTTTCTTCATTCGATTAGCCCCTTCTCGCATATCCATCTGAACAAAGTGCCTTTTTTTTTTTTTTTTGGCAAGCTTGATTCGGATTGACGGCTAAATTGGAAGTGGTGCACTGAACTGACCGCGATAAAATGGGCATCCTTTGGAGGGTATTTTTTTTGCCCTCCTCTAGGTAAGTGTTCGAGCGGGGCACATTGATGTGGGGTGAACATCCCAATGGGAGGCCCCATAGTATGGCAGTACTGTTAAGCGTGCCGGGTGCAAAGACTACTCTGGGGAAGCTCCAAAGGAATTCACCCTAACGCGCAATTCCTCGTGCGCCCGCATGAGCACAGGGTTTCTGTCTAATGTGCTTACCGCAGCGCACGTCATAAAAAAAAAACAAAGAAAAAGCAAATTGGAGAAATAGCAAATTGGAGAAATAGCAAATTGAAAAAATAGAGAAATGGAAAAATAGCAAATTGGAAAAATAAAAGATTGGGGATAATAACAAATAGGCAAATGAGAAGTGCACAATTGATGGCGCAAAAACGCTGCAAAAATGTCCAGATGAGCCCACAATCGGGCACTAAAAAAAAAAAAAAAGGGCGTAAGTGCTCCACGCGGAGGAAAAAAAACGTCGCAAACGTATTCCCCACCAGGAGTGTACTCACGAATGAATCATTTTCTTGGAGTAGCAAAACACAACCCTTTCTTCATCCTTCCATTCCCCCTTTCGAATGGCAGCAGAGGAGGGTTCTTCAATACGTCACAGAATACAAGTGTACAATCTGCTTCGTAAGAAAAATAACATCCCTCATGCCCGATCTTCGGTTCGCTTGGTTCAGGAGGAGAAATATATTCACAATTTTTTCCACTTCAGAAAGGTACTTTTTTTTTATTAGTCCCAAATGAGAGGAACTCAAGTGATCGTTCCGATTGATGTGGTAAAGAAAATGATTAACAAATAACATGCAAGAAATGATAATGGCGGTGTCGTCAAACCTGCTCTCTATGTCTGGAATGCAAATGACGTCATTAAAAACGGAAATCAGGAATTTGTTCACAATGTAGGGGGATCTAGTAATAAACATCAATTCGTAGAGTAGGGAATATCTGGACATGTTGCTCGTGAGGTTAAAGGATAAGGCGCGTAAACTCACTTTTTCCATCTTCAGACTTTGTTCTTTCTCATAATAGATGCTTTCCTTGCTAGTGGGTTCAAATTGGTTGATTCTATCGGACAGTTGTTCTGCATCTTTTTTAGATGTGCCACATTTAACTGTGTAGAACCCGTTGTTTAACAAAAAGAGGTTAAAATCAATTGCGTTCAAGACATTTCTTAGGGAGACATTTTTGCCCCATATCTTCCCATGCATGTATATGCACCCTGCTATGGCATATTTAATGCTACTGAGTTTGTTGATGTAAGGAAGTTTTGTCTTCTTCTTGAGGGGACTTTGAAATATTTCCGAAAATTTTAATTTGATCTGGTCAGCAAGGGGAAGTTGTTCATCTGCTGCGACAGTCTCCCCACTTTTGGTGTGGTTTGGCCTGTTCTCCTGTTTCTCTAGTTGTGATTTCTTTAGATAGGGCTTTCCTTCCTTTAGAAAGGGCTTTCGTTCCTTTAGCAGGGGCTTCCGGATCTTCCCCTCGGGCGAATTCTCCACTGGGGTGACATAATCGCTGCGCTGTTCTAGAGGTGGAATAATCTCCAGCATCGATTCATACTTTCCCCTGAGGACACAGTACACACTTTTGTAGATGTCATTTATACTGACTGACTCCAGGAGGTGGTTCTCCAAGAGGATCATTTCTGCGACGAGTCCGAACACAATTAGGGCGTTGTGCACGTTTCTTTGTAGCTCACTGGAGGGCTTCGATTCGTTATCTTCGCAGTCGTCCATTTTGCTCTCTCATGGTGTTGACTGTGGACTCCTTTGCGCCGGGGTTTCTAAGGGGTGCTTCTAAGTGCTGTTTCTAGCCACCGTCTTTAAGTGGTGTCTGTAAGCGTTGTTTTTATGTGGTGTTCTAGGTTCGAGGTTTCTGATTGCTTCCCCTGATTGGTTTCTCTGAATTTCTTTGTTTTTTTCTTTTCTCTCCATCATGGGTTTCTCTATTATACTTCGCTTACGCCTACCGATTCACTGCTCAAACGTGCGCAGTTTGGGGGACCACGCTCGCAGAAACACGAAGAAAGGTTGGCCTCTCCAGGCTCAGGATGCTCCTTCAAAAAGGGGAATGAAGAAGAAAAAAAAAAAAAAAAAACCAAACGGTGAGGGGCTACGTGCTGAAGTTGACATACTTGGAGCTACGCGAACCCATTTGCAGCCACCTCCTTAACACTTTCATGTGTAGAGCGGCTAATCGGTTCTCAAAAAAGAAGCGGTCACACCGTTGGAAGAGAGCGTGACGGAAAGAATCCGATCAGGGCTGCCCTGAACACACGCAGGTGTGAATAACTTTACAATGGGGGTCAAGGATATACTGGAGCAAAAAAAAAAAAAAAAGAATGTGTATGATGCGTGAGCAGGATGGTTAACAGAAACGGGTAGAGCTGTGAGCAGGCGGAGGGAACCATTTCCATGGGCGTTTCTGTGCATGAAATGCCGCCTGTTTGGCGTGATTATCCTGTGAGGTTTACCCTATGTGAGCTGGCGTATGGAAGTTACCCTATGTGAACTCCTTCACGTAGACCATGCTAGCCCCCTACCGCAGTAGAATGCTGCAGCGGTGGACGCTGCGGACAGGCAGGCGTGTGTTCCACGCGAAGTGCTGGGGGCATGGAAAGAAGAATCTCTGCTGCGTTTTTAAAAGACATTTCAGTAACACTTCGATGGGTGGAGGAGATAAGAGGCCTCCGGGCGAAGAAGCAAAGGGGACGGCGAAGCCACCATGCCGCAGCCGCAGTAGTCCCCCTACCAGTGAAGAGATCAAGCAGCATATCCAAAACGAATACGGGATTTGCCCCAGTTCTATCGATGTTAACATCCAAAGAAATGGAGAAAAGGATTTGTTCAAGTTAAGCAAAAGGTGGAGTGCCTTCTTCAAATGTGAAAAGGATTTACACGACGTGATAAATAAATACATAAAGACAAATAAAATGGACTACCATTTGCATGCCTACTTAGAGGGGATCCCGAGTGAAGACGGTCAAGGAGGGGAAGATGTGAAGGGCAGGCCACCTCAAATGGAGGAACAATTGAAGAAAATCTTAACCTACATTATGTCCCTTTTTTACAGACAAATTCAAGACTTCAATATTTTGTCTATCTTAAGTGAGCGTATTATCCGTTTACTAAAAGGAGGGAAATCCCAAAATGATGCTAATGGAGATGGCCGACCCATCAATCAGGACAGTGTCTGCCTGGACAAAGCCACCATTTTAACGACACTCCAAGTGTACAATTATGTGAACGCCATGAACGATGAATTATTCGATCGACTCTTTTCTCTACTGAACAAATGTTACGTGGAGTCGGCGCCATCGGGAAGTCCCCTCATAATCAGCGATGACGAAATTGTACTTACGCTGAAAAGCCTATATATCCAGAAGTTTAAAAATCATGTCATTGTGGATACTATCCTAAAGTCACTTAGGGACGCCCCCCATTTGAGTGCACACCTTTCTGTGCATTCGTTCCTTTACCTCACGTTTCTATCCAGGATGGATAATGATTCCCTTTGCAAGGTAAACTCTGCACTGTTGTATGTCTGTCCGATGGGGCAAATCGACAGGGGAGACTCCAGTGCAGCCACGGAAGAGAAGACAATCAATCGAAATGAGAAGGAACAATCCGTAAGAAGTGAAAAACCCACATGGAAAAATCAAATTGAGCAAATAAAATTCAGAGTCCCGCTATCATCAACAGATTGTGTAAAGCTTCTCTACGGCTACTTCCTCCTGGGGGAGAACCACATTAACTGGTTCGTTATCCATAAACTCCTTCTGCGATTGCACGAGGAATTGAAATATGAGGAGAAAATCCTTTTGTTTGAGAAGGAGAACAAGAAGGTACTCCAAATGGTATCCATCGTGAGGACCTATTTAAGGTACAAAAAAAGAAGCCTCTACGATAATTTGCCCAAGGGTCTCAAAAGGGTATTAAAGAAGTTGCAGAGCCTTCATGCAGATGATGAATACACAAGAAGGAAGGACAGGAAGTTTGTCCAGAAGGTATCATGGCATTTAATGAAACTTCGCATTGCGCATGTTAAGAATGGACATAAAGGTGGGATCCCATTGGACATTCTGGAGAAGGATAAAAAACTGGTGTGGCTGTGCTTTTCGTATCACCAGTACTACGTTAGGACGATTGACTTAACGGCCGAGACGTTGTTGCAGATGGATTTACTAAAATGTATGAATTATCGCATTGCCAAAGTGCACTACTATCAGTTTTCCCGCATGAAGGCAAGGCGAACTCGATTCGAGTACATACGGATGTGCCGCTACTACACCCTGCGCGACAGACGCAACTACGACGATGAGTTCGAGGGGTGGAATTTGCCCTACATCAACTGGTACCACCGGAAGAACAAGAACGTCCACGTGTCCAACTACTTCTACGGCTGCACCCCCGTCTCGCACATGCAATATTAGAGAGATGCCAGGGGTGGACCGACATCCATGAAACCATATAGAAATAAGCATATAATTCTGTGCGTGTAAAAGTGCCCATGTTAAATGGAGAAGGTGTTCTTGTGTTACATGCCTAATGAAGGCCGTTTCCTCCATTTGACCCCTAACACCGACAAATATTGACGCATTGGGGCAAGTCACCCTTGCTGAGGCATCCCCCCCTTACTAGGGCAAGGGTCCATGGGATTAACAAAAAAAAAGAAATTTACTTCAATTTATCTTTCATTGGACTCCAAAGCGGAACATTTTCTTGCACACAGTAGTTCTACGTTTTCTTTTTTTCTTTTTTTTTCTCCGCCTTTCTTGTTACGTCCGGGGGGAGTTTCACCGCTTTAACCGCGCACGTGTATGCTTATACCTACACACATACGTGTGTACATTTGTCTTTCCCACGTGCACGCCGCATTTTTTCGTTGTCACTTGGTTGTTGCGGACGAAGCAAAGAACTTCGCGCTGGAAAAACACTGCACATACGTTTGCAGACAAATAACGCGTTACTTCAGCCAGTTGTTTGGTAAAATATTGGTACAAAATTATTTCCCGTCCATGGCCCACGCGATAAGCGCGATTGGCCCGATCCGCACGGTCCCCTCTGTCCACGTCATCCTCGCATGTGCGCACGGACGTGTGTATGGGTACCCATAGCCGTGGGGAGAAAAGCGCGAAAGTGGGAAAACGAGCGCGCGCGCCAGTTCGACTGCTAACACGCGCAATAACTGCCGCAGTACTGGCGCAACATTCCTCCCGCGGGGTTGGAAAGGAAAAACCTTTTCTTCCCCATTTGTGCACGCGATCACTTCTGCACAGTTCACCATAACGAGTTCTTTGTTTTTTCCCAGTGAGATTGCGCGTTTGCTTCAACATTGCCCACTCGTATAAGTACACATGTGCTGTATGCTTAGGTACGCACATTGATTTGGCGATTTGGGTGGGGACCGCCTGCGGCAAAAAATTGCTGAGTAATTACTCCCATTGGAAATTTCCCTCGCCGTGTGCCATGCAGGTTCATTTTCGCCTATCCGAATGCTTCTTCCAAAAACTTCTTTTTTTTTTCCCACTTCTGCGTACCATTTTTTGGCCGCCCATTTTTCACGATCCCCCGACAGCCTTCTATCATGGGCGCTAAGGGTGCATCCCTCGCCTCCCTGTAATTATACCAACACGCAGTGTATGCGCGTACACGTCCGTACAGTACATATGCCTGCACGTATACACGTGCGTTATGTAGTTCATGCAAATCCTGGGCGAACTCTTGTGGCGTCACCAAAGTATTCCATAGCAGCAGATTTCACCCAGTTAAGATTCTATGCTAATCTAAAAGAAAAAAAAAAAATTAAAGTCGGAGAATTTACGATTGAAATTTGCGCACTCCTTTTGTAGTTTTATTTATTGATGCATTAATAATATTTTTGTATAGCATTCGCCCTGATTTTTGACAAGAATTATCTTCTTTTGTTTGATAAACATTGGCGCAAACCGTGTGACTTAGCAAATATGAGATGAGAAAACTCCCCATAAGGAGTAGCCCACCCAAATGGCCTAAACCAGTTGCATAGCTGACAGATAACTCTTCTCATCAATAATTATTATATGATGTATAGCGATAACAACAGCTGGAACTAGGAAGAAGAAAAAAGAAAAAAAAAACAGCAGTGTATAGCACCTCAGTTGATAACTTGAGAAGTCAATCGGCGCGAAAAGGAGTGAAACACTAACTGAGCTAGTAGAAGTAGCAGTGCTAGTGGAAGTGTCAGTAGAAGTAACATTGCTAGAAGAAGTGGAAGCAGCAACCGGGGCAGCTCACTCAGAACCCAAATCACCAGTGGCCCTGGTGACACGAACCAAACCAAGAGAAGCAGAAACAGGCCGAAGGCAACAATTGATGTTGCGGAGACGCATTTATACACATTTATCCAAGCAGCAAATATCGAAAATGATTTTTAGGTGAGCGTTATTCTAAAAAAAAATGAGAATAAATTTCTTCAAAGAAAAAAACAAGATTAAATTGAATAAGAACTTCGACCTCGACTCAGACAATGCTTTTTCTAATGCCAACCCGGAATCGAATAACTACCTGACGGCCAACAGTGGTAGGGAAGCGGGAGGATAGCCCAGACGAGGGCGCAGAGAATACACGACATGAGATGAGACCAGACGAGATGGAGAGCAAAGTAGGGGGCAGACATGAACGCAGAGAACAGGGTAGATGGAACAGATAATCTTATAGACCAATTGGTTACCACCGTGCAGACCCCCGCTGAGCATAGCGACTCACTTCAACATGCGCACCCCATCTTCATGCATATCTCCTTCTCACCCCTTCCGCTTAGATAACGAATATGACCACTATGGATTCGAGAAGAATAAAGAATACCCAGCTGAATCTACTACTGATAAACGGGCACTAGAGAAGCATAAGAAAAAAATTGAAAAAAGGTACTATCCATCTGGGAGAAACAAAGCCACGTCGCAATGGCCATGGGGGGAGAGACGTGGTGTTGCACACGTTCAGCGCCAATGCACATGTGTGTGCTCCCATATATATGTAGATCTGCGCATTGTCGCTGAGATGATCACATTCCCCCGTCTCCTTCTCATAGGTGGCAGTTATATTTTACCTTCAAAAGGGACATAAAAAAAAGTTACTATCTAAAAACGTTAATTAGGAAGGGCATTCCGGACAAGCTAAGGTTCGTCAAATATCCGAGCAGTTCAGCAAAAAAAAAAAAAAAATATCAACATGAACAGTAATAAAAATAATAAATAAAAGGATAAATGAGTGAATGAGCGCACACATAACAGCCCCTCTGTGCTAATTCCCCCTTTCGCAGACCGGACATATGGCCATACCTGTTAGATAGCATGGTGTTGTATCTGAAGTATCCTACCATATATGAAAAGTAAGCAACCATGGCGTGGAGACAGAAAGGGAAGAAAAGGAAAAAATAAAACATCCGGTGGCTACAAGAACAGTGGAAATGGTCACATTTACGGCATATAGGGTCACTCCTGTTGGGCAATTCAAACATGGCTTGTCTGAGAACGCTGTATTCCCCCGAATTGTTACACCACACCCGGTTTTACCTTCCTCTGTTCATTCTGCAGATGCCTAAACAGTGAACTCGAGGCGAAAGTTCTCAGTCAAATTGAGTTGGACATAATCCGAACCTTCCCACATAATAAAAACGTGTGTGCAGTTTTATGTCAACACGGATTAGATGTGTACATATAATCGATCCTATTAGTGTACCTGGGAATCTATTCGCCTTGGGATAACCTTATAGTTATTTAAGATTATCCCGCTTACCGCATTTATATGTATATATTTTTTTTTTTTTTTTTTTTTTCTTTGAAGTACCGGATGAACTCTCCCGGATTAATTCAGCTGAGGAACGTCTTGCACGCCTTTGCTGTTTATAAGCCCAAAATAAATTACTGCCAGGTGAGGAGAAGGCGGAGATTTCCACCGTAGTATTTTCTAAGCCGTGATGACCATAATATTTTTAGAGAGATATATGTGCATAGCTATACTTTTGTGCAAAGAAAATGTCCTGTGGATTTGAACTAGTGTGTGATTGGCTTATTTTACCCAGTGATCTTCGGAGGTTCATCCCGCTGTGAAGTTTAACACATGCATCTCGTTAAAGTCTTCTTCCTAAATTTGATCTCCATTTTTTCTTTCCATATTTTCTCTCCACTTTTTCTCTATAAATTTCCCCCCCTCTTGCCGACCACTTTATACTCCCCCACAGAGCATGAATTTTATCGCCGCCATCGCGTTAATATTTTTAAAGGAAGAATTAGCCTTTTGGTCAATTGTCCAGTTAATCGATTCGGATTATTCCCACGAGAAAATTAATATCAGCGGTTAGCACATGCGCTATGCCACTCGCACGGTGCCATGCCGTCCACACCATTTTCTCTGAGAGGCATCTGTGACACGTGTCTTTATATTATTATGTCCCCCACCTAAATCATTTCACCTTCTCCCTTCACACCGCGCAGATTATTACAACAACGAAATGAGGGGTCTTCGTAGGGACATTATCGTCATAGAAGAATTGATACGAACGAAGTTGCCGGATGTGCACTTTCGTTTAAAGTAGGCCCCCTCCGTGTGCATGGGCTGACTAATATGGCTACTCTATACCGCGCATTCGTCCTTTGTCTTTTTTTCCCCAATAATTTGCCCAATCCTTTTGCTCACCCCGACAGAGAATTCGACGTAGACCTTTCCTGGATTTGTTCCGAGTGGCTGTTGTGCTTATTTTGCACGGCCTTTCCGGTAAGCACTGGGCAGGGGTCCTTCGCTCACCAGAAGCGCTGCACCTCGTCGTTCTACGTGCACATGCGCATGCGCGTGTTGTCCAGGGCTTCTATCCCAACAAATCTGTATATATCTCTTCACATGGATTCGTATTTCCCCCTTTCCCCTTTGGCCAGATCACCACGACGTTACGCATATGGGACTGCCTCTTCTACGAAGGAGACAAAATTATCTTCAGAATCACATTGGCCTTGTTTAAGATGAATCAGGAAAAATTAATTGAATTAAATTCATTAGAGTCAATCCTATTATTATTTAAGGAGACAACCAAAAATATGGTAAGCATGCGAGGCATCGGTAAAGGAGTAGCCGTGAAACGGCTGACTATGGGGAACCCTTCCTTTTTATTTTTTTTATCACCAACTTGTTGCGTGACAACTTGAGCGAAGAAAATAGTGGATGAGAGAGGATCTTCGTGAACGTTTTGCACCCCTCCGTTTGGCTTCCCCATTTTGTGTCCACGTCATTTGACCTCCCCGGTTCATTCCTCTTCTTTCCCCTTCTTTCCGCCGCCAATCCACGCAGGTCGAATCCGACAAACTGATGTACATAGCTTTCAACGAAATAGGGGTGCTGAAAAAAAAAAACATAAAAAAGTTGAGGGTCAAAGCTGAAGGTATTATAAAGAATGGCGTAACATAAAGGCATGCCCCAGTCCCAGCACCCGTCCCAATGCGCACAAGCACGACGTCCTACGTACACGTGCGAGATCCCACCATTTGTTAGTTAATTTATTTTACTCTTTATTTTTTTGTCACGTTATTTTATATTTTATAATTTTTTAAGTAAATTATAAATATTTTCGTTTGTTTTTTTTACAACATTTTAAAAAAACAAAAAAAAAATTAAAATGAAAATATGAAAGCGAAGCTAACCAAAGCAGACCAGAGCGGAGTGATGAGTACTTGCTCAGTGGCTCTTCAAGTTTTTAAATGTCAATTTTTTGAAAACACAGCTCCTGCTCGCGGTGCGGAGAGATGGAGGAGAAAAATACACTCCTTGTGGGTACGCATGTTATACCGCGATGTGGAAGCTCCTAGGCAACGGTCTAACCTACGGAAGCTGTCATCCAGGGTGTAACACACGTGCAATGTTTTTGTAGCACTTTTCCCTCCCCAATGCGCATAGGGAGGCTTCCCTTGCGAATAAGCAACAGCGTAGCATCCGCGCTGAACATAACTACACATACGGTTATGCATACACGTCCATTTGATATTCTGAAGGGAACGGCATGCGCTACAGTGAATAAAAAGCACTTCCACTGTTTTACTGTTTTACTGTTTACTCCCTTTTTGCGCGTCTATTGCGCTACTACGCCGTGGAAGAAAACGAATGCTCATTTAAAAAATGCAAGTTTTATCTGTGTATTTAAGAATTAACAAAAAAATGCTGTTACGAAAAAAAGGAAAAAAATTGGGAAGCGGGCAAATAGGTACTGCGGCTTAAAAAGTTCGCATGCCGTTACCAGTATGATAATGGTGATCATCACAGCAGCGTTAAGGTTATCGTAATGGTCACCGATTAAAGCGGGAAGGGGTGGTGAATAGAAACAAATTAGGGGCCTTCTTCTTTACTTTCTTTGCCAACGCGCGCAACTTGATGATGACTCTAAGCGCAATGGCGGACGTCGGTACACGCGTGTGCTCCTGTGTATGTACATATGCATGCACGCTTCACAAATGATTCAAATAAACGCAACCCAGTTAGCAGGTGCGCGGCACGGTAAACAAAACAATCGGAGGGACGATGGCTAACAGAGCTAAGCAGCAATAGGAAGCAATCTTCATGTGGTCGTACCAGGACGGCTTGTTTTCCATTTGGCTGTTGTAGAATATGCCCATGGATATGCCTGCGTGGAGGGAAGAATAAAAAAAAAAAAAAAAGGCCGTATATATATACGAAGCTGCGTATCTGTGGGGGAGGGATGCGTGTTCACATAAACATGTACACATGAGAGGGTGGTCCCGAGAGAAAGGACTCATCCTACACGAAATAACGCAATGGATTGTCGGGCTATCCCCCTCTCTCCCCTTCTCTTGAAGGGTCCCGCGGATGTGATGAGTTATAAACATACCTGAGAGCAATCCTCCCAAATGGCCTATATGATCAATATTCGACCCGTTAAATGTAAAATAATAAAAAAAAGAAATTAAAGAAAAAAAGATAATGTTAAAAACGACTCTCTCTCTATGTCTAATAACATGCCACAGTAGTATTAATTCAGATGTTACAACGCCCAGTAATCCCATGCCGGAGGTGCTGGCGCCAACTTTGATAGGGCAGTAAGTAACAGAGGAGGATAATATGTTTCCATATATGCCTGTCAAGAAATAAAGAATCATAACCTTCACAATTCCGTAATTTTTCTCCAATGTAAATCCCATTCTTAACTGGAAAAACACATTAAAAAATGTGTGAAATATGTTCGCATGCAAAAATATGGGCAGAATCAATCTGTGAATTTCGCCTTGTTTTATCCTGGAAGCCACATTCGCTCCTAGCGTTATGAGGAGAGAGTCTACAAAAAAATAGGGAATAAAAATACAAACGTGAGAGGGGTTCCTTTGTTTGGTCATCATTATTTTATTATTATTTTTCCTTTCCGTCATCCCAATGGGCCTCTTTCTCAGAGCTCACACTTGGTCAGGTTCATATGCTGTGAGAAAGTTTCTGCCTCTCTATGGGGTATGCCCCCCCCCTTTCTGTGTGTTTGCCTGTCTCTCTCTTTCCTTCCTCGCGGATCGTATATCCTCCTGCGTGGCACTTACCAGAGGGAGTCAAAAAATCGGCGGGCTTTATACTAACTGATATTATAAAAACAATTATTTGTATGATGGACACAGCCATGATAAAGCTCTTCCAGGTGAAGTGCGGAAATATGAGGTTCACTACATCAATGGGTTTGGATCTTTGTATGAAGCTACTCTGGGACTGATAGTACTCTGGTGCTTGTATGGGTAGGGAAAAAGTGTATCTATGTTTCGGTGCGTACATACGTATGGTGGGCGTAATGCAGAGAAGGACGCGACTCAAATTAACGTTTCACGGAAGGGCGGCAGTTCCACGCGTTCCTAGATGGGAACAATGTTTGCAGTTCAGGCCACACATGTGGGCCCCCTTCTCTTACTTCTGTTGAAGGGGAGGTTTTCCCCGTAGTCGTCCCTGAACTCCGCTAGGGTGTGGATGTTGCTCATCTTGGAACTCAAACGTTAATTTCGTGATATTGCGGAGGGGAATAACAGCGGGTGCGAGATGTGCGCACTCGGTTTATCTCTCTCTATATATGACGGCAGCACAGAAACCGTGGTCACGAGTTGGGAAGCACTAGTGATCATGCAACCATGTAACCTCGTAATCATGTAACCAGGTGACGGCGTAAGCGTACCGGCTCGGATTGCATTTGTTGCGAGAACAAGGGGTTGCGCCTCGCCTTAGCGGTTAAAGCAGCACTTTCACGATATGTTATGGTGTGCAAGAGGACGGCGGACTATGAAGGGCGCGTAAGAAAGTGTACATAAAAATATATTCATGTATTGATGGGGACCAAAACAAAGGCAGGCATGCTTCGTTGCAAGAAGGGGAATTCTCTTTACCAAAAATGGAGCAAAATCAAAATATTCGTGTAATTTTGGATCAATTTATTGGCTAACCCGCGTGAGGGAGGGGGAAAAAAAGCATATATATATAATTATACAGTGTACGTAAATATGAACATATACATGCACGTTAATTAAGCACAACAAAATGGAGAACAAAACTTCCAAAGGGCCTCATTAATGTGATCTATTGCGTGTTTACTTATAAACCACACATGTGTATATTGTTTATAATCCCTCTCTCGCATGTGTATGGCACGCGGTCATTTTTTTAAATCTTCTGTCGTCAAAAGAGGCACGCGCGGAGACTTCGAGTTCCTTGTGCACGTTTGCCAGTATAGAAGAATATATTAGCAGGTGAGAAAGCGGCAAGTATGTGTGAAAAGGTTTCCCCTCTTGGGAAATAAAATTGGTTAAAAGGTGAAAGGTACCATGCACAGGGTTTTTTTACTTGCTATTTTTTTTGCTTTCTTTTTGCTGTTTTTATTGCAGTATTTTTTGCAGTTCTCCCTGCTCATTTTTTGGCCATTTTTCTGCCCTGGCGCTTCTCGTTCGCTGCGATGAATTATCTTTCCTCTTTTGCAGTTGAACTGATAGATTTCTACACGATGAAGACATTCCACTTATTGGGATATAACAAGTACAACACAGCAACTTATGGAGGAAATTAATGCTTTCGATTTATTCTTTAAAATGGGCTCAAGTTTTATGTTGGCTTACGCCTGTTTTTTTTTTTTTTTTTTTTTCGAGCTATTTTTTCCTGCCTAGCTTTGTTCATATGGAAGAGGAAAAAAAAATAGCACAAAAATGGGTGAAAAAAAAAGCACAAAAAAGTGAAGAACAGGACTGGACTGTTGTTTTCAACTTGGCATATGTTTAAACCCACCTTTGATGTGCAGCCATCCTGAATTGCTTTCGTTTTCTTTTCCTTTTTCCAATTTTTCCTTTTCGCCGTTCACGCAAAATCGTGCCAGCGGTTATGTTGAAAAGGAACACAAAAAAAGGGGGAAATTGACAAACACAGGCATTAGCAGCGAAGAGGAAAAAAAACGATAGCAAAGGATTGGCAGCAAAAAGGAAAAAAGAAATTATGGCGAAGAAGACTTGGCCAAAGGGATAAAATTAAAATGCGCTGACGTGAGCGCAAGTGCCACAATTCCACCAAGGGAATAGACACATGGTCTACAGTTTTTCTTTTTTTTTTTTTTCTTTTCCTTCACTCGTTATACAAAAGGAAGACCATCACGGTGACAAAAATGAAATCGTTGACGTACTTCGCCGAAATATAGTTATCTGTCTCGACGTTCCAGAGGGACTTGGAGGCAACGTGAATCTGCATAAGTCAAAGGAACGGGTGAAGGGTTAGCTGTTTTAAGATGTTCATTTGTTTTTTCTGTATGTACAGTTCACGCGAGGGCAACGTTGGTGGGACTTTACGTTGGGCGGCGCATTGCCATTACGGAGTAGGAGAAGCCGCAATGGTGTATATGCCCCATATGTGTACAATGGGAGGTAGCTTTCCCGATTGTTCGCACTTTTCCTCCGTACCCCCTGCTTCTTGTTCTCCCCGATAATTCCTTGGATGACAATTTTGTGGCGCTCACTGACGTAGGGCTTTATGAACTGCTGCACCTCGTCCACCAGGTTGATGGCCATTTTGTCGTAATTGCTTTTCACGGGGGGATTCTTTTCAAAGTAATTTTCCTGTTCATCTTCGTTATCGTTGGAGGAGTCATTTGCCAAATGGTCATTAAGGCTACAATTTGTATCTTCTTCCTTTCTATCTTCTTCGCCATTGGTTTCAGCACTCCCCCCTGTGGGGATGCCCACCACCTGATTTTCCGCTTTGAAGGTTAAATCCGCGGTGCTTTTCGCGCTGAAATAATTTTCCAAAAAAAGTTTTAACTTCTCTTCGCAGGTATTAGCAAAGAATTGAAATCCCCCCATATCTATTTTATTCTCCTCCTTGTTATTTTTCTCATTGTCGTTACTCTCCTCATTTTTCGTGTTGCCTTTACTACTTCCATCCATCTTATTGCCCCCGATGTTGTTGCGACAGTTTCTACTATGTGTGTGTGGAAATTTGGATGTTCGTACCTTGAAGGGAGTTCGCCAAATGGGCACAGAGAAGCATTGGGGGAAGTTTTCTCATACATGTGGAAGGTCATATGCACATGCACACTTATATGTAGGCACTCCACCCACTAACGCATCCTTAACGCAGCTTATAGGAGCACATCATATGGAATGGCACGCATTTTCTAGCCTTTATTTTTTCATCTTTTCTGTGAACATCTACCTTTAACGTTCGCCTACGAATGGGACAGAGTTTGTCTTATTCAGCGCTTTCGCGGGATGGTAAATTGTTCCTCAGAGGGTGGCCTCTCGAGAGTGTTCGAAAAATTTCACTCTTTTCGTCGATCCTACACAACTGCCGATTTTTTTTTTCTTTCTGCCCTGCGTGTTCCCTATTATGCTACATCACGTAATACACGCATGAAAGAGGAGTTATAGGAAGGTGGAGGGGGGCTTTGTCGACACCTCCGCTACTGTCTTATGGACAGGAAAATGAGACCAAAGCGGGACTACCGTTAGTGCTGTTCACGTGATTAAATGGAAATCGTGACGATTATGAAATATTTTTAAGGTGAAAATAAGAGCACACAAAAAAAGGAGAGGAAAAGGGGAAATAAAAAAAAAAAACCATTGGACGCACCATCATCAGAGAACCCTATTTAGGGAGTTATGAGAGGGACGGAACCAGCGGGAATGTTTTTTTTTTTTTTTTCCTCTTTCATTTTTCCGTGCTGTATCTCGAAATAGATATGCCAATTAACGCATGGGTGATGTCACGTAGCAAAAAGTCTTAATCACATAGAGTGGACTTTCCAGAATAGGTGCTTTCGTTTGATCGCTTTTAAGTTAAAGGAAGTTGCCTCTTATTTTCCATTTCCTTTTTGAGGTAAATAAAAATCTGCGAGGGTTTCCTTTGTGTGGCCAGAGAAGGAACAATGCTTGTACCACATTGGACACACATACACTGTAATTCTTGCTGATGTCAGAAAAAAAACAGCGCCTTATTTGGAATATCCGCCTCTTCCTTAGCTTTGATTTATGGCGTTAACAAAAGGGGAAGTCATTACGGTGGTTATTTTATTATATTTTTTTTTCCGCGCTGAGGGTTTCCCATTTCACCCTTGAATTCCTTTTCGAAAAAATAACTCATCGCGTCACTCCTTGTGGCAGAAGGCGACATCACAATGAGTGATAATCACATCGAAAAATAAACCTCTGTGTGCCTTTACTTCTGGGGTGGAGAAAAAATTTCAGATGAGGGAATAAATTCCATGAGGGGAACAAAAAAGGAAAAATAAAAATTCCTACAAAAATTAGCACTTCGTTTATAGGAAGTACTTTGTGTACGCGGAATTACCTCAATTTTGGGTACCCCTTTTTTTGGTCACATTGCCAACGTACTTTTTTTTTCAGTGCCCCCTGTGGTGCAATTGCGTACCCCGCCATGATGCATAACTACCATTTTAGAAAATATGGTGCAAAAGGGGAAGTCCCATAAAATAACTTAAAACCACGTCGTGGTAAGTAAATGGGGCCTTCATGTAAATGCTCAAAGATTGATAAGGGCACTTGCGGACCAGGCACATTTCCAATTTTATGGAGCCATACGTTTGTACACACGATTTGTGAGAAGGAATAAAAGTGCAGCCCTTGGGAGACCGGACGCTTTTCCCTAAATATATCGCTTATCGGACGGTACTTTTTTTCGTAAATTGTGGGTAAAGTGGGGCTGTGCCCAAGTTGCGAAGTGGCTAAACGGCTAAAGGGCTAAGCAGCTAAGCAGAGACGTGGAATTTTCTTTTTTGCGTGGAGGCAAACCAGAGAATTTATTTTTCCATTTTCTCTAAATGTGAAGACCCCCCTCCCCCCCCAAGTGGGACCTTCCACGGTTAACAATGCATGCACGTGTCCATATCTTTGGACCTATCTTCGCCAGCACCTTCCAGTGGTGTCCAGTTTTCTACGTCGAGGTATAACATGTTCCAAGTGGGAAAGAAGCAAATAATTTGAACCCATCCCAAGGCGATTTATTTTTTCTCCTCCAAATGTGAACCCATTTATTCTTTACTTTTTACCTTATATAGGTTTCCTTTTTACGTTTTACTTCTTATTTTATTTTATTTTTTTTTTTTTTGTACCTCCACTTGGTTAATAAAATTTCTTTTTTTCCTAAGGACAAGTGTGCTTGTCTTGTGTAAATGAATTCGTAGAATTCATAAACATATAGGTGGATTTCCTACTGTGGGAGGGGGATGCCCAAAAAGATAAAAAAAAAAATGAGAAAGGTAGAAAGAGAGAAAATCAAAGGGAATAACGATGATGATATATTTTTTTTTCTTAAATATTTCTTTATCTCCATTTATATGACTGTACTTTTTTTTTTCTCCTTCGTCTGCGCATCCAGCCCATAAAACCCAAAGTGTAAACTTTGGAAAGGTGGTTCATTCATTACGTTTATATTCCCTCGGACATGAGCCTCTAAGGACTTCTATTTACCATGCCTATCCCAAACAACCAGGGTGCACCAATTTTTTTTTTTTTTTTCTCATACACTCATTAGTAGGTAGCAAAAATTAAGCCAATTTTCTCTGTAGGGGGGGAATAACATTTTATGAATTTCCATCCCTACACATAATTGTAGTGACGTTACAGGTGTGCCCATCGCCAGCTGATCCACTGGCGAGAGAAAAGAAACTCCACACTTGATGTACACTTTGCCCCTCTATTGATGAGGTCTACCTAGAAGTAGATGAAGCATACACTTCTATTTGTACAATCACACGCATGTGTGCATGTACTTATGTGCCATGCCGTGCGACGTTCACAGCGCATGAAATAAAAAAAAAATGCTCAAGAAGAAAAAGGAGCTTTCCAACATAGATGGGGAAGAGAAAATTGCCAAGAAGAAGAGTAACTTAGCTGTGAAATCGGCTTGCTTGAAGAAAAAGGGTAACACCAGTACGGAGGCCACAGACGGGGAGGAGAAGGCGGCAAAAAGCGACCCTGTGAAGGGGAAGACGCATGGAGGAGGAGCTAAGCAGTGCACCATCGTGGAGAGAAAAAAAAGCGAGAAGGGGAAGGACCAAAAAGTTGGCGCTTCAGATGTTGCCCCCTCAAAAGTTACCGCTTCAGATGTCGCCGCTTCAAAAGTTGCCCCTTCCAAAGCTGCCGCTTCCAAAGTTGTCGGCGAAAGAGGGAGGGAGGAAAAGATCAACATAAAGGAGGCAATCATAAAGAACGTGAAGGTGCCAGACAACTATGAAATCAAGCATCTGATAGGGAGGGGGTCCTACGGGTATGTGTACCTAGCCTACGACAGAAACACGAAGACAAACGTCGCAATCAAGAAGGTGAATAGGATGTTCGAAGACCTGATTGACTGTAAGAGAATCCTCAGAGAAATAACCATCCTGAACAGGCTAAAAAGTAACTATATAATCCGATTGCGCGATTTGATAATCCCCGAGGATTTGCTACAGTTTGACGAGCTCTACATCGTGCTCGAAATAGCCGATTCGGATCTGAAGAAACTTTTTAAGACGCCAATTTATCTGACGGAGGAGCATGTGAAAACGATCCTTTACAATTTACTCTTGGGAGAAAAGTACATCCACGAGTCAGGCATTATACACAGAGATTTAAAGCCAGCCAACTGTCTACTGAACCAAGATTGCTCCGTTAAAATTTGCGACTTTGGACTAGCCAGAACGATCAACTGTGAAAATGACATTCATATTGTACAGGATTTGGAGGAGAAGGAGGAAAATGAAAAACCAGGTCCACACAATAAAAATCTGAAGAAACAACTAACCAGTCATGTGGTGACCAGATGGTATAGAGCTCCAGAGCTTATTTTGCTACAAGAAAATTATACCAATTCGATTGACATTTGGTCCACGGGGTGCATATTCGCTGAATTATTAAACATGTTGGAGAGTCATGTGAATAACCCTACAAATCGATTCCCATTATTCCCAGGTTCCTCTTGTTTTCCCCTCTCTCCTGATCATAACTCTAAGAAGGTACATGAAAAAAGCAACAGAGATCAGCTAAACATCATTTTTAACGTTATAGGAACCCCCTCGAAAGAGGATCTAAGGAGTATCAAGAAGGATGACGTCATCAGGTATATTAAGCTCTTTCCACCCAGAGACGGAATCGACTTTAGAAAAAAATTCCCCTCCATTTCGGAGGATGGAATTGACTTACTACAGTCTATGCTTAAATTTAACGCTAAGAATAGGATCACAATTGACAGCGCTCTGAGTCACCCCTACCTGAAGGATGTTAGAAAAACTAACTTGGAGAGCTTTACTGCTAGTAAGATTATTCTACCCTTCGATGATTGGATGATGCTCTCCGAGACGCAGCTCCGGTACATTTTTCTGAAGGAGATCCAGTCCTTCCACCCAGAGTTGGTCATCCCACCGAAGCTGTCTGTTCACGAGGGTACCTTCTACAACGAGGTGTAGCGGGGGGGCAGGGCACAGAGCTCTGAGTTGGACGCATCACACCCACGCTGCTCCCCATTCTAATAGTTGCCATTTGCGCAGCATGCACTACTTATTAATCTATGCCAATTTTTAAAATGCCCAATTGCATTACGGGTAGCAGCCATTCTCCCCTACATGTTCCTACTTTATCAATATTTGCGAAGCTTCTCCCATGTGCGTACGTTGTGTGAATAGACTTTTGCACCTTATTATAAATTAGGAAGGCGTTAACTCCGTTCGTGGGTGTCTTTTTTTTCTCTTTTTCTTTTCTCTTTTTTTTTTCTTTTCTTTTTTTTTTTTTTGAAAAATTTTTTTTTTTTTTTTTTTTTGTTTTTTCTATTCTTTTTTTTTTTTCTTTACCAACCCCAGTTGATTCATCCTCCATGGAAGCAATTCCACACAAGGGGTATTATTTTATTACTCCCCCAGTTGCTGTGAGGACCTTTTTTCCACACTTGGTCTGATTTTTAAAAGAACCCTTTCCTTTTATCAAATCTATCCATTGCTTCACCTTTCTTTAAACGGAATGGAGCATTTACACAGATTGCAGTGTATCAAAGGGGTGTTTTCCTTTTACCTTCCCTTACAACTGTGCCATCCAATGAAACGAAAACTGAGCGTGGGACGGTTGCTCCACCTGAGTATAGGTTGCCTATCAGTACTGGAAAAGTGGGCCACTACCCGTCTGAATGTTTCTCCCTTTTGCCACGTATGTTACAAACCGAAGTGGTAACTATACATTTTGGGCGTTCATGGGGAGGAAATTGCCCTGCCTGGGTTAATAAGCGCCGATGAAGAGATGAGCAAGGGGAATGCGAGTAGCCACAGCTACGTTCAGGCGCAGGATGTCCAGTGGATACCTTCGTATATACGTGTATACATATTTGCACTTCACTTTATCTACTAAGGCGGAGAAGTACATTCTGCCACGCACATGTCGGCAATCATCACAAGGATGGGGAAAATATAGTTCCTTTCTTCCTGTGGACCGCCCAGCTCGGTAATTCCGCTCATCCCGCGGGGGGAAGATGCAAAGTTGAGAAGGACAATTAGGCGAAGCTCACAAAGGCGAAAATAAGAAGTTCATAAGGGCGAAATTGTGGAGGCTCCCAATTGGCATCTTCAGAGCGGCCCTCGGAACGGTGCACTCTCTGCGCGCAAGGGATGTCAGCTCTCGCGCCCATTTTTTCCCCCTTTTATGCCAGAGAGGTACAAAGCAGCGGCATCGACAAGTGACGAATTTTTTCAGAGGGCTCATCGGTTTGCTCATCTGCAATCGCGCCAGCAGTTTTTTTTTTTTTTTTCTTCTTTTGCTGCTCTGATTAATATATACCCCCTTTTTGTACGTTTGGTTTTTCGCCCTCCCACCCCAAGAAGCACGAAACATTTTAAAACACTTAGCGAGAAAAGCGTCCGTTTTTGTCGTATGAATATAGCGAACGGGTGCGAAGTGGCAGGGGAGGGAAGCAGTAGGGAAATGTACCGAGGAGCATCCCATCCCGCCAAGTAATCCCTATAACGAAGTAGCCCCCTCCCACGAAGCACCCCATCTTCACGCCGTTGAGAAGATTCCCACTCTGCGAAATAAAATGCACCTATAGGAAGAGTTGCCTACACGCCGGGAAGTAATGCTCCAGTTAGTCCATGCGAATGAGGGCAAATAGTCGGCTAAGCGAATAAGCTCTCCCCACCCCCAAACACACGCTGGAGAAGATCAGCACGTATGTATATACTTATACACATGTGCATACATATACATATGCACCCGTATGTGTACCTACGCCTGCTCTCGTGTACGTACTTCAGGTACATGTTAGTGGCAAGCGCGCAGTATGGATGATAAGGAAGACCTCGTCAGAAGAAGCCAGGCCACTCACCGGAAAGCGCAGGGCAGAAGTCATGCGGGCGCGGTGGAAGAGAGGAGCACCAGCGAGAAAGAAAAACGAGAAGCTAGAGACGGCAGGGACGGGAACGGAGGCAAAGGTGCAGGCCAGGAGAACGGCGGTGAACAGAATGGCGGCGTCCAAACCGATAGCGAGACAAACGCATTGGAAGGAGAGAAGATAAAAATCAGCACGAGGAGTATAGTCCTATTCCAAGTGATCCTCTTCCTAGTGTTCTTTTTCGTGCTTCTCATCGGTTCATTTAACTTCAGCTTTAAGCTTTTCCAGGTGAGGGAAAAGCACCTGTACGAGCTCCTAAACAGCATAAAGGATTTGTCGTCCTGTGGGTATGCGGATTATCGGACAGAGGCTGAAGAAGGAGGCGGATCCGTCCAACACGAAAACCCAGATCAGTTAATCAACTCCACTAATGACCTTTCGAACGAAAGCTTAAATTTTAAGTACTATTTCACACGAGGGAAGCATTACAAGAAAACAGAGAAAGAAATGAACAAGAGGAAGAAGAAGAAGAAGAAGAAGAAGGAGAAGAATGCAGATATCAAAATATTCATATGCCTAAATAAAAAGAAGAAATTATTCCATTTTACCAATTTTTACGATATCATGCAAAGGGGTAAAAAATGTGTATTAAAAATTGTTACCTTTTTTTTTAACGAAATATGGAACGCCCTTTTTGGCAAAGAATTGGATAACTCCAACGATGTAGAAGCGGACCATTTGTTGAATGGCGATTATGTAAGATTCGGTGGGGAAGTAGCTGCTACTTATGCCCGCTTCAACAAACTAATGCGTGTTACCAAATCGTATACGAAAAAGTACTACGTCGATATGGAGTCCCTGTTTTATCTCTACCTGGACGATATATGCTACTACCACGACTTCGCCCTCTTGGGGGGAACTTCCCCACCTCATCCGCAACAGCACCCGCAACATTCGCGGAAGAAGAAAGACATCACTCTGTTGATAAAGCACATAAGCAAATACCTGAAGGACGACGTGCTGCTGAACATGCTGCACACGTTGTACTTCGGCATATGCGTGGACGGCGCCGTTTTGGCCAACTCCATCAAGGGAGGGCGAAAAAACGTGAAAGAAGAAGAAGTGAGAAAAAAAAACCTTCCCGTCTCCTTAAACAACGCACACATTTTGGAAGACATAAAAACGTATCAAGGCTACTACGAGGTGCACCACAAAATGGAGAAAATGCGAAACGCAAGTAGGTACATCATTGTTCTGAGCAGAATAACGAAGAAAATAAAAACGATAGACAATTTGAAGAGGCTAAATGGGTGTTTCAAAAAGTACATAGGAAATTTAAAAACAATTCCTTTTTACTTCTTTCTGGATGATTTTTTCGACACGCCATGTTATGTGTACAACAAATTAATTAGAAACATCCTACGATATTATTATAAAGGAATATTCCTCTACTTCATCATTCTTCTTGGATGCATTCACGTATTCTTCTCTCCCTTCCCAATTACGCTGGTACACTTTCGGCGATTTTTTATTTATTTTTTAATAATGATGTATCGCCTATTCATTCTGTATTTTATCCCATCCATAATTCAGTACATCATTTATAAATTCCATTACTTTAAAAAGGAGGAGCACATGCATATCTTTGACTACTCAGATCACGTCATTTTATTTTCCACCCTCCTGTTCATTATATCCCTTGAGACAAAGGCTATTGAGTATACTATCAGACATCAGAAGATCAGCTCTGATTATTTCCATTTTAAGTACAACAGAAAATTGTGTGTTTTTTTATTAAAATTCATTTTGTTTTATTACTACGTTCTTATTTTTTTTTTCCTTTACACGAGTTATTTCACTTCGAAATATTTCCATACCACCAATGAGATTTTTGTCGCTTATTTTTTTTCCACATTTTCCATATTTTTTATTTTTTATTTCTGTTTATATAAAAATTATTTCAGTTTTTACAGCATAGGGATTACTTCCTATGTGCATAAGAATGCCCATCATGCTCCCCCCCACTCATTTCACGCGTCCCCCTACGTTTACAGCGCCTACGCTTCTCTGCGGGACAAGTTTCCCGTGGATTGAGGCGCCGCGAAGTTCGCGCCCAGCCCCATGTGTAGCGAAGTGTGCATCCAGATGTGTGGCCATTTATGTGGTGATGTGTGTGACCATGTATGCTGTGATGTATATTTTTTTTGCACGCGATAATTGCCCATCAGGTGCCACCACCCCCTGCGGAGCGCCTCCTCTGTTTGCACATTGCTCATCCGGTGTGCGGTCCTGCGTACTGCTCTCCTTGCACCCCCGTTTGTACCTTCACACCTTACACCCCTTGTGCACGTTTGTGAATACGCTTATGCCGGGGGATCTACACCTGCCTGTACGTGCAAGGCGTTTCTATCTACATCATTTGGGTATTCCCTGCGGCAAACTGCTTAATCCTGAGCCGGAGTAACTCCCCCTTCGTAGTTTGCATTTTACTCCATTTTTAATGCGCATTGCACGAAAGGAAATTTTTTGATCTTATTAATGTTTCCATGTTTTGTCTGTCTTTATTTTTATATATGTAAATATATATATTTTTTCCTTTTAACCATCTCTAATGGTTCCCCCATCCTTGCAGCATCGTTCTGCTGGAAGTATGCCATATGTGCCCATTGAAGCGTCTCCATCTGTGCCCTTGGCTGCGCACCTTTATTTATGCATGACCATATATCTACCCTATTCACTGTTTTGCCGCTCTTGGCACTGCCCTTTTTTTTTCTTTTTTTTTTTTTTGTTGTTAAATGAAGGCAGAGAAGTGCACCTTCCCCCTCCTTCCTCACAAATTAAAAGCTTTTTGTATCCCCAAAAAATAACGAATCATAATAAAAGAGTTTTTGCCAATATAAATAGATCACCAGGTTAGGCGGTCCAGGAATCGTTATGCAGTTCGAAATGCATATAGAGGATGTTCCGACTTCTCGCGCATTTGCGGTTGTTTACGTGTACATGTGTATGGCTGGGAGTGGTTCGTCAAAATGGGGTAAGGAAAAAAAAAAGAAAAAAAAAGGTGCACGAGGGTGTCCAATTTTGAGGTTACGCCCAAATTGCGATGGGATGTTCGTCATCGAGACAGGCAGTGATACTTGCCGCTTCCCGCTTGCTCCCTCGCATCGCTGTGTCCAGTAGGTATAACCCCCCAAAAAAGGGGGTCCTCCTCCTAGCCTGTTTACTCCCCCCCCATCAGTTGCGACAAAATGTTGTGCCCCTCTGAATCAACTCGACAAGGTAATTATCCGGGTCGTACACAAAAGCGATGTTGCTCATTTGCCCCTCGTGTAACTTCTTCTTAAAAGTAATACCCAGTTTTTCTAACTCCTGGCAGTAGTTTACAAGATCATCGACCAGGAAGCCAATGTGGCCGAACCCTCTCGGCTCGGTGTTCCCATTGTGGTATGCAAATGGGTCGTCACTTTCTGTGCCATGATTGTGTGTTAATTCCAGGACGGGTTCCCACGAAGTTTTCAGATTTTCATAATCTTCATCAGACTGGTACGCCTTCTTTAGCTCTTCAAAATTGTAGTGACGCTGATTTTGCTCCTCCTCCTTTGTAGAAATATCTCCACCCTTTTTATCCTCCAAATAAGGGGACTTCAAAAAGTATAGGGAGAAATCCGACGCATGCTTAATGTGAACTAATTTCATACCCAATATGTGTAAGTAGAAATATAAGCTTTTTTCAGGGTTCTTAACCCTAATCATGGTTTGTGAGAAGTTTGTAATGCTTTTGTTGTTCTTCCATTTGACTTCACTGGATCGCTTGACTATTTCAATCCAGTAGTCATTCGGGTCGAGTGCAAAGCCAATGGTCTTCATTTTCGTTTCATGGGGCAATTTGTGAAATTTTACTTTTTTCTCTTTAAAAAGGTAATCACAAAATTCGACCACATTGTGGCAGTTAAAAGCGATATGTCCAAATCCTCTATCATTATCATTGTTTCCGTTGCTTAACTTTTCCGTACTGTTATGATTATGGGTTAATTCTAGGCAGACCGTCTTCAAATTCCAAAGGTATTTCTCCGATTCGATCGTATTCGGTGGGGGAATCTTCTTCCTTTCTTCTTCGTCATACGGAGGGGTTATCAAAAAATACAGGGAGAAGTTGTACTCATCAAAATGGTATGTGTGGATGTTAATCATTCCAAAGTTCTTTTCGTAAAAGGCGACCGTTTCTTTTGGGTTATAGATACGCAGCATGGTCTGCTGCCAAGTTGCGTTGTACCTGGCGCCCAATGCTAGGCTCGGTTTGGATTCGACCATCGTCAACAGGGAGGGGGGGAGAGGTACGTAAGTACACCTATGTGCGAACGATCGTATGTTTCGTAATTGTTCGTACACCTACGGATGCGCGAGTACGCCGTCAGCTCATAGGCCGCCTGTGACGTCGCGTCCGTTAGTTATTCTTGCCTGTTGTTTCTGCGAAATGTCGCGCCCTGCACTTTCATGTGGGGAAGGAACTTCGGGGGGGGTTTCCTTAAGGACGCTGTTTTCATAAGCGTATTCTTTTAACCACCAACCATGGTATTGCGCAATGACGGGAGTGATGCTCGGCAAGTTCCTCAACGTTGTTCATATTTGCTTCTTCTGTGGGGTTGTTTTCCTTCCTTTGTGTTTTTTTTTTTTTTACTCTTTAAATTGTGTGGAGGGCGCGTTTTTCCCGTTAGCCACATTTGGTAAGTACACTATATTTATATATATATTTTTTCCCCAATGGAGTTCACTCGCCATAGCATAATGTTAACCAGAGCAACGGTGTAGAAACGTTTTTTTTTTTTTTTTGTTGCTCCGTTTTGTTACACAGTTGATTGGATGAGGCACCCACAGAAGCACAGTTTGTTAATCCGTTGTGGGAGTATCCCCCTTACGTGAGGGAGGGAAGCCAAATGGAAGCTAAGATCTCTTCGGTTACACGAAAAAAGGAACGAAAAAAAAATGAGAAAAAAACAAAACAGCGGAGCAGCGAATGGGTAAAAAAAAAAAGAAAAAAAAAGAAAAAGGGAATACGTGGGACACAATTACAGGATATCCAATATGTTCTTTCTCTTCTTCTTAGATTTGTTAAGATTTAGGTAGTTATCAGTGTTGCCAAGGCTGGGAATGTTTTTTCCTAGGTTTGTCACATTTGACCTCTTTGCGCTGTTTACTCTGTTCGGGATGGGAGGCTTGTTTGGCGCATCCCTTTCTTGGACATTGCTCAGGGGATCTACTTTCGTCGCCTCCTTTACCGTGTCTGATTCCTCCTCCCATTTGATACTCCCATCATGTTTTCTTTTTTTTTGAACGTTGCTATGTTGGCCTGAACTGTTAAGATTTTTGAAGTTGTTATTTTTTCCACAACTATTACTTTGGATCATCGGGGGGAGGATCTCCCTCTTAATCGTGCAGCTACTTGTGCCGTAGTCAATGGTGAAGAGATCTTTGATTCTGTCCAAAGCAATCGCTTCGTTTATTGGCTCGTCTGTGGGATTGTTATCCAAATGGGGGGGGTCCTCCTCGGGGTTATCCCCAGGGAAGTCCTCTTCAGCGTTGACTCCACCCAAAGGGATATTTCCTTGCAAATTATCCTTCGCTTTAACATCCCCCGTTTGGTCCCCGGGTGTTTCCTTTTTTACTGCATAATTATCTATCTCGTTGATGAGAAAAAGGCCCCAAATGGACGGATTACTTCGGACATTCAGTCCATCGGAATTCTTAAGCGGGGCATTGTTTACTTTATTTTTATAGTTCCTTAAAGTGTGTTGTCTTTTACGCTTACAAAGAAAGCATATATACCGGATGGAATTCTTTTGATCAATATGCTTAATTTCGCAGTTGTAAAAGGGGATGTATATTAAGTTGCAGTAGTGGCAGCAGACATTATCCAACAGCAGAGTGTTTTTTGTAATTTTTTTAATTAGAGTGATATATTTCATGGATAGTTTGGTATTGTTATACACAGTTGACATGGCTAAGTTCCACAGATACTCAATTCTTTTATCAGTTTCGCCGTGTCCAGTTATTTCGGAAAATTTTATCCTTTGTATGTAGGCGTCCACTCGATTTTTCCTCTCCGCATTTCCCCCCTGCATGTTTTAAGCGCTGGCTTTGCCAGGATGTTATACTTACGTGTTTCTTCTTGGCGAGATTCCCTCTCTTTTTTTTTTTTTTATTTTTTTTTTTTGCGTACACCTACCTCTTGCTATACATTCAAATTTTGTACTTCTTTTTCGAAGTATGTATGCCACCATACGTATTATTTTCCCTGCGTGTATATCCACAGATTTGTGCTTCCCCAGTGGGCGAAAACGTTGAAACCGCTTGCGTGTGGGCGGTTGGGCAGGAGAATTTACTGGGCGCTTTTAACCTTCTTGTAAGGCATTTTTCTTTTTTTTCCTTCTCGACACGTACACGTATCGTGGTAGCGTTTTGGGTTTATTAGAAAATTTTACTTCCAATCCGTTTTGCTCCTATTCTTATTCGAATTATTTCTCCAAGGTACGCTACTTTTTTCTCTTCCTTCAGCCATGACATGGTCGTATCGAGCAGCAGGGCGTACTTTACAGCGAACGTTTAGCAGCGCCTATTTTTCTGAGGCACAGAAATGGGCGCTGTTTGGAAAGAAGACGAAGCGACTGTAATGTCGACGCGGTTAACGCGGGTAACGTTGAAATGAAAGGGACAAAGCAGCAGCAGGGAAGCATGCTTTGAAAAAATAGTGCGAGCGATTCTGCTGCGTTTCTTTTTTTTCTTTCAAAATGGTTTTTGTTCGCTCATGCCGTTTCAGCAACACGCATCTGGCGTATTTTTCTTTCTTTTTCTACCACGATTTTTCGCACTGAATGGCGAATTTCAAATGAGCAGTCGGGTCGTTCGGATAAAAAAAGAGGTCAAAATGGGTTACAGCAAAAAAAAGTAGAAGGCTGCAGGGGGGCATAAAATCGAACAGAAAAAGGAAAAAAAAATAGCAGCACATTTTTTCACAAAAAAAAAAAAAAAACAAACAAAATTTTGCAAATTTGAGGGGAACAAAGAAGAAAATTTACTGACGTGATAGGTGACACCAAAAATTTTCTCCCCTTCTACAGTTTATGTAAAGCAGGAAAAAAGGGGCACAAGAACAATGCGAAAAGGTTTGTCCTTTGTAACGCAGAAATATATACGTCCCCCGAACCCATGTTTTCTTATTATTGTAAAATGAGGGTGGGGTCCATCCTGTGTGACGGTTAAAGTGCCTCATTGAGGGGGCAACATGTGCCACCCCTCTTTGCATACGCCACATTTGGGATTTCCTTCAAATTTGAATAAAATGGGTGAGGGTCCACAAAAGGGGGGACACGTTATTAAGATACAGCCAATTGTGCATCTTCCCGAGGTGTGCAGAAGAGAGTCACGAGATTCAATTCTCTATCATGATGCGGCTCCTTTACTTGGATCCCCCCGCTGAGGGTCCCTTTTCACCCTTATTGAAACGGTGATAGTACTTACTCAAGTTGCGCGGATTCTCCACCAACTTGATAAAGGTCGTGTTCCCGTCGCTGGAGTACGAAATAGAGTTGGGGACGACTTTGAAATTTTTCACAAGGTATGGCATCCTCTCTTGAGCTTCCATCGTCGGAAACTGGAGAGTCAACACTTGGACGTCCCTAATTCTGTTAATCATCGTTTGGATAATTTTAATGAGGACATCACAATTTGTGCCAACTTTCGCCGAAATGGGCAGCACATTCTTCGGCTTAGTTTTATACAAATGAAGGAGTTCCTCGTCTGCCAGTTTGTCCACCTTATTCCACACTTCAATCATATTGCATTTTAGAAAATCGCTGGGGATGCCTATCTTCTGTAACGTATCAATGACACACTTTTTATGTTGCTCTCTGTAGGGGTGGCACACATCGATCACGTGAATAAGGATGTCTGCATTCTTAATTGCTTCCAACGTTACCTTAAATGACTCGTACAAAGAGAAAGGGATGTTCTGAATGAACCCAATTGAATCGATAAATATGCTGGAGTGACCATCCGAAATTTTTACACTTTTAAAAGCATTATCCAAAGTTTGAAACAATAGATTCCTTGCCTTCAAATTAGACTTGGTTAAATAATTTATTAATTTTGTTTTTCCAACATTTGTATATCCTACCACGGCTATTAACGCTTTGTGCTTTCTAGCACTCCTCTGTAGTGCATTATTATTTTTGCATTTTGCTAATTCCTTCTTCAGCTTTGCATACAAATTTTGAATGATTCTTTTTTCATACTCTTTGTACGTCTCTGAGCTCTTTATGTAGCTACTTGTGTACCCCAGGTGGTCGTAATTTTTGTTTTTTCCCATCTGCCTATCCACATGGAACGTGTTTTGTCGGCTGTGCTTTTCCTCGTAATCAAAATTTGATTTCCCCAGTACATTATTTTCGATATATTTTATATATTTCATCCTTGATTTGTTATCTTCTGCGTAGGTGTTGAAAATAAAGTTGGCCCTGGCTAGTTCCAGCTGCAGTTTGCTCAGGTTGCTTTTTGCCCTGCTCTTCAGTATCTGCAGGATGATGCTGTACCGGTCGAAGAGCTCGACGTAGAGAGGCACGTTGCTGTTCTCTGCATCATCGCGGGAAACAACACGCTCTTCCTCCGCCTCTCCCAAAGCAGCATGCTCTTCCCCCTCGCTGACGCTTCCATCTTCCTGGTCCTCCTGCTCCGCCTGCCTTTCCATCCATTGGTTATACATCTCGACGTACGCGAGCTCCTCCCCCCTGGCGTGTTCCGCGCCGCCATAATCCTCAGCACTAAATTCTGATGCCCTCACTGAGAGGCAGTCTTCTCCCCTCTCCTTCTCCCTACTCAACTTCAACTCATCATGATGGCTCCGCAGCAGGCTGTTAAACAGCATATCCAGGTTTCTGAACTGTTCGGGCGAAAGCAGCGTGTTAATAAACACATACGGCGTTGGGTGTTTTAGAAAATAGGTCGACAGCTCATTCAATTTGCCTTTTCCAAAGTAAAACTTGTTATCTATTCTGTTTGTTTTCATTATAATTGACTCTGCAATTTTTTTTTCTAGGTCGTCCCCCTGCGGAGGCACCTCCTCGGAGGGGGCATCTGTCTCTGCCTCTGCCCCCTCGTCTTCCCCTGCGTATTCATTTGTGTGGCACTTTTCCGCCTCATTCGTATCACCCCCACAGGGTGTCTCTCCGTTTGAGTGACGTGTGCCCCTGAATGTGTCTTCCTCACGGTATCTATTAGCCAAATCCTCCCCTTCACCTTCCTCTTTAGACCCACTTGGGTGTTTAAAAAATGTCCACCCCCCCAACGGCATCGAAATTCCATTTGCAACTTTGAAGCCAGCCGACCGAGCTAACCCTAAGGCTTCCTGCGCCTCGTAGATTATTTCGTTAAAGGACTTGCTTCCATTTTTCGTTTTCTTTAATGTCGGATGGAGTACGATAATTTCCTTTTTCCTTCCGTTTGTGAAACTTCGCTTCTGTGTTCGCGGGAAAGTTCGTAAAGTAGTGGACCATCGGAGCATTTTAACGCATCGCCATATGGGAGTGGTGGAGTGTGTTCACGTGCTCTTCTGGGGCAGCTTATACTGGGGTGGTACATCAAAAGAGGGGCGACGATCGGGGGGAAATGAAGAGGAGTCTATGGCCACACATTACTTTTCCTACCCGTTTTGTCATTTCTTTACCTTTTTTTTTCTGGCGCTTTTCTGAGTGAATATCTCGGCGGAAAAACAGGATGCACAATTGTGCTAACCACTTTCAATTGGAAACGTTTTAAGGGGAAAGAGCTTTGTGCCGATTTTTAGGGTGACACAATTGGTGGTTGCTGTAGACAGACGTCCTGTTCTGCTATTTTTTTGGGAAATAATTGCTCCAGGGTTGCACCGGCTGTTCGACAGAATGTTGTTTTTTTTTATTCTTCTGCCCCCTTGTTGAGCGTTACCGAGGTGAGCAAACCGAAAAGCGGCAAAACGAAATGGGTTACCCCCTTTGGTTAAGGAACGTCCTTCTGATTGGTTACGCAATTGGAGGAAGCGAGAGGGACAGGCCCCTTCTTCGGTCACATGTTGGCCTTTCTAGGCGATGGAAATGGTAAGCTCCCCCTGGGATGCGGAACATCCACATGTATGTATATATATACATATGCCTGTGCGCACTGACATTTGGAAGGCTGGCAAATGAATTTAAGATCAGGGATAGTCGTACATTATATGCCATGTGGAAAGGCGATCCCTACTAGCAGAGTAAATTGCTGTGTATGCCACTGAGCATACCAAACTGATGCACTATTTCTACAGGAGTTTTTTTCCTTTTCACCTAGGCGGCAAGTTGGCATGGTAATCGGAACTATAATCAACAATAATATATTCACACTGTTTTTCCTTAAGGAAGCCAATCCGTGTGTATCCCCCCCACAATGGCAACGATTTTGCGTTGCCGGCGCGCCTGAACAGTGACTCGTGCATTTAGACGTACCCCTTTTGCTGGGCGTACGACCCAACAGAGGAAAGAATAGGTCATTCCGCCGGACATGCTGCGTATCGCTGAAGTGCATACGGTATTGCTTAACTTGCGTGTTGCTAGTACGCATAGGGCCTCAAGAGAAAAAAATACCCTAATGTTGGGCGAAACTTTTGTGACATTCCCCTGGGAGGCAGTTTGTAGGGTGTTTTCTGCTTCGCCCTGCCGATATGCCAGGTGGCATGTCGGGTGAGCCGTGATATATGCACGTACAGAGAAAAGCCAAAATTCTAAAAAAAAAAAAAAAAAAATCTATGTGCGGTGGCTCACGCTTGTAATCCCAGCACTTTGGGAAGCCGAGACGGGCGGATCACGAGGTCAGGAGATCGAGACCATCCTGGCTGACATTGTGAAACCCTGTCTCTACTAAAAACTACAAAAAACTAGCCGGGCGAGGTGGCGGGCGCCTGTAGTCCCAGCTACTCGGGAGGCTGAGGCAGGAGAATGGCGT